CCTAAAAGTGGACTGAATTTGCACTATTTCTGGCAGTCTGCAACCCCGTAGTTGACCAAGTGGATTCTATCCTTGATGTGCAGTGAAAGATACTGTCATTGACTGGCCAGGTCATTTGCTAGGATTGTTGGATTTTGTAAAACAGTTGGCTCTCCGCATGCATGGTTTCTTTCTCTATGGATTGAACCATCCATGGCTTGAATATATTCCAAAAAGATATACATTCCAAAAAGCAAATCTTGATTTTGATATTTGATATACAGGATACCATTTTACTATGCCGTTGTATTTAATGGGATTTGAGCATCCATAGATTATGTTGTCCATGGAGGGTCCTGGAACCAAACCCCTGCGGATACCAGGGGCCCATTATAGAATGATAGAATAGAGACAGGGCACCATCTTGCCCTTTGCTTCAGGCTGCAAAATAACTTGAGCTGGTCCATAAAATATTCTCTTCCCATGCCCTTGCAGCTCTCCATACCTTATATAAGGAGAAAATTAAAGTATGTGTGTTACAGAACATTTTGTCCTGTATTTCAATTTGTATTGAGATGAATGAGTAGACAGAGCTAATGCTATAGTAACCCTTTTAGCCACTAGTGGAAAATGTAGCCTTACAGAAGTTGTTAACCTTCATCTCCTGTAGCACATAGTTCAAGTTCAACTTTATTACAATCATAGACCATCACAGGTAAAGAAAATAAACAAATAAATGGATAGAGAGTAAAAAGAAGATATCACATATGTCTAGATTGAGATTGTCTTATGCAGGTGGAAGGGAAGATCAGAGCAGATGGAACGAGATCTGAAAAACCCATTGTACAAAAGCACCTTGGAGAATAAAGAATAGCAAGACAAGAAATTCAAAAATATTCTGTTTAAAGAAAACAAAATCAGTCAACAATCCTAAAATCCATACAAAGCATATGAGATACTGGGTGTTAACCCTGCTCGTAACATCAACATGTGATATTTTCTTAAACCTCTGCTTTGTTCTTATTTTAAAAGAAACAATATTAAATGTGAGTGGCTGTCAGCATGTAATTAAACCTCATTTTTATTATTGTTTCCCCCCACTACCCATAAGCCAGAGTGCAAAGTATCACCTGATGTCATGGCAGAAGGTCATCCACATTTTTTTCTGGCAAAGAGTGATTTCTCTCAGCTGGATTTCCTGGTTAAATGTAAGGTTAGATAAATACAGGATTCTTTCTAGGAAGAATTCTTATGTGGATGGTGGCTGCATTATGCATGCACACCTGCTAAGTAACTCCAGACTGGGTTTACTTTAAAAGAAACCTAACTCTTGTCCATCTGAAAATGGTTCCAATGGGCTACCCTTTCATTTTTGGAAATCCATTTTTGGAAATCCTGAAGGTACTTGCTACTGGTGGTCAAATTTGTGGGTAACACAGAATTTGTGAGTAACACAGAATTATTTAGCCTGGTAGAAATCCAAG